TAAAACAAGGACAAAATACCCGTACGTATTGTTAATAAGGAAGCCGCCGTGGTATAGCGACTAGGCGATAGCCTGCGGATCTGAAAGTCGTGGGTTTAAATCCAAACGAAGGCTAACTTTTTTGTCAAAAGTGACCTCAGCTCTCAGATCAAACCAGCCTCAAATGGGTACCAGGGGGGTGTGGGAGGCAAAGGCGACCGGCCTGATGAAAACCACATTACCCATGGGTTTATATAAATTGGCCTAAAAAATATGAGTCGCGCACCAGATGTCAGTGGCGTGAAAAGGGAATCTTTTCTTGACTACAACTAGGAAATCATCTGGTGCCCTGCACTATACAGCGTTTTTTCATTGTGGTTGGAACAAGCCAGATTGCGTCTCTGTTGTCAGCAGACAGTTGGCAATGTTGAAACAGACGCTTGCATTTTCTGATGCAACAGACACACACACAAACACAAACACACACACAAACACACACATATAAGTGTGTGTGTGTGTATGATCGGCTTTTTCTGTCATTTCATACGACAGTGTTATATTGCGCTATGAGGAAGCATAGGACTCACAGCCCATGGCGATGGCGAGTGTGACTAGCAAGATCCGCTCGCGTTAAGAAAAGTCTTCCACAATTATAGCATGGGATTTCAGGACCGTTGTTGTCCACATTTGTGTTTAGTCTGTTTCTTCTGAGACGCTCAGCTCTCATCATTCCTACAATTATTTCTTCCTTTATTCTCATTCCCTTCCTGATGTGTCCCCTCCAGACAATACTGCCCATGGCTTTTTGTTCCCACGAGTCCACGTCAATACATGTATCATTCATGTCCCGCGTGCACATGTATACACAAGTATATCAAAGGAATGTTTCTCTGTTGTGAATTTGAACGTTGAAGACACACAGTGGATTGCTCCGTTTCTCACCTGCCATATTTAACTGTATCTCGTCAGGTGCATTCTCAAGTAGTATCATCATCATCATGTAGCAGGTCCTTTGCAGAACGTCGCTCTCATCACAGTCTGCCAGAAAGAAACTCGGTCTCTCGCTAGTTCTCCTGCCTCATGTGCTTTCATACCCAAGTAGTCACTTATATCATGTGCACATCTTCTTGTAAGTCGGCCCCTGCCCCTCCTTTCTGGTACCATACCTTCTGATATAATTTTTTCCAATCCGTCGTGGCACTTGATATGACCAAAATATTTCAGCTTCCGAGACAGGATGCTGTTTATTAGACAATCTTCCTTGATGTTCAGATCTTTCAAGATGTCAGTATTTCTCCTTTTCTTTGTCCAAGATATTCTGAGAATCTTTCTATAGCATTTCAGCTCAAAAGCCCCTATTCTTTTTCGTAAGGACTGAGAGATAGTCTACGACTCACATCCGTTTGTAGCCACAGAGAAGATGCATGCTCTCAAAATTCTAATTAAGTAGAATTGATTAAAATGAAGCAAATAAATAAATCCTTCGAACTGAGACACACAATCGAGAACATTCAAAAGTAACTGACTGTTTCACTTGAGCAAACGCAAGGTGACAACCATGTATATATATGTCCTTTGTCGAGGTTAGCTTTAGTAAAGATATTGTAAGATTAAGCTACAAACGAGTAACAGCACTGCACTCTCACCTCAACAAACTGACAATCTTTGGCCCTAGTTTACTTGCTCGTAACTTGTCTGCGTTATCCAGATTACTTTGTGTGAGATCTGCCTCCATTACTCCTGTCTAGAAACGAGAACAAATATAATTTCAGACATTTTTGCTTCATGCTTGTAATTTCTGTCTGGTTGGCGTATATCTTTCGGAAATTTGTGTCTCATGAATTATTTTCTGATTTTTCTCCTCTCTCTATCTCTTTCTCTTATTTTCTCCCTCTTTTACGTTTTCAGAATATTTGTGCTGATATTTGTATTTTTTAAAACTAACATACTTAGATTTGTGTGTGCGTGATGTACTATTTTCTTTCTTTCTTTCTTTCTTTCTTTCTTTCTTTCTTTCTTTCTTTCTTTCTTTCTTTCTTTCTTTTCTTTCTTTTTTTCTTTCTTTTTTTCTTTCTTTTTTCTTTCTTTCTTTCTTTCTTTCTTTCTTTCTTTCTTTCTTTCTTTCTTTCTTTCTTTCTTTCTTTCTTTCTTTCTTTCTTTCTTTCTTTCTTTCTTTCTTTCTTTCTTTCTTTCTTTCTTTCTTTCTTTCTTTCTTTCTTTCTTTCAGTCTTTCTGTCTTTCTGTCTTATGCTTTCTGCTTAGTTTTAGCTAGCATAGGTTTTTTTCGAATCTGACATAGTTAGATATGAAACAGTTACCATTTTATGGTTTTTAATCTCTTCCTCCCCCAACAGTCTGCATTCAAATAAGCCAGGTTTAGAAGTCCAGAAGTGGACAAAAGTGAGAATGTTCCGCTAGAATTTACCGCCGGAGAATGCGAAGAAGAAGAAATTAGTGCACATATTTTCTATATGAAAGATCAGGTCATGCCGGTGTTTTGGGAAATGAGCAGGCAGATAGACTTGTTGGCTCTGCACCACTTGGTGGTGAATTGATGTATGACAAGCTAGATATTGTAAGGGTCCTTTGGGAACGAGTGAACAGTGCAGACGCGCAGATAGATCATTACGGTCTGAGGAGAATTGGGCTGCGAGGAGTTACCAGGGGATCTGGCCGACGCTCAACACTCAGGGGAAGGATGAGACGGATATACAATCAGACGGTTACTGGTACCATCGGAATTGGAACTCTTTGCTTGCTGCTAAAGATGGAGACTGAGCACTTATGGGAGTGTCCCGAGTGCTATGATGTCGATTCTTATTTCAAGATATAGTATATGAAATAATTGTTTTGTAGTTAAAATAAAATTACGTATTTGAACCAGGCAAACATAAACAAGGTCTGTGTTTATATGAACAGTCAGGCTGACTTGAAAAGGAATACGTGAGTAGACACAAATAGCACACATGTAGTTAGGAATCAGACAGACAAACAGAAAGACACAAAGAGAAATACATTTGAGGCGCAGAATTAATACCAGGTGGACAGACAACCAGATTGAAGAATGGGTACGTATACAGATAAATGTGTGTAAATATCTAGACTGACATACAGACAGACGTGTGCAGATAGTCGGACAGATAGACAAACAGATTAGTTTGAGGACAGACTAGTGTGTAGGTCTACAGATAGAAAGACATTTGTGCAGACAGACGAATAGACAGACACGAGACTGCTGTGAAGGCAGACTGATAAAATAGTGTGCAGACAGGCTGATAGACAGATCGTACCTTGCATACTTCAGCAAGCAGTTCGTGTGGACGGATGAACAACCGGGAGCTCAGGAGAAAAGCGAATATATAGGTTCTCTGTTTTAAGACAAAACATGTACTCATTAGAAATGTGCATCATATTAACATAAAAAACAATTATTTACCTACATAAAATCTAGGAACAAATGGTTCGGCCACGTGCAGAGAATGCCACGTGACGCTTTACTTTACAAGGCGTACTTTAAAAGAGGAGAGGGACGTAGAACCCAAGGTGGATCAAGAACACGATGGAGAAAAAACATCAGGAAAACCCTACAATAGGGCGACTAGTCTGTGGTCGAAAAATACTGCTTGTAACAAAGTTTAAACGGAAATCGCTTCAAAAAACATTTTAATCTTTAAGAAAGATATACAGTTTGAAGAAAACCTAATTAAAATGCAATATTTGTACCACATCATCTCTTCCTCAAACATCAAAAGGATCCAACTGAGGAGTAATGTAGACTGGCGGGAGTTAACAACCGGCCAAGCAACATCATCAACCATCCAATTAATCAATGTGTATTACCAAGACAAATGACAGAGTCTGTTGGAGGTACAGTACAGCTACCTGACTCAAATGTGTTGAAGGTCTAGTACAGCCACTTGACTCCTCTGTGTTGGAGGTCCTGTACAGCAACTTGACTCATATGTGTTGGATGTCCGATTCAGCCACTTGACTCATATATGTTGGACGTATAGTACAGCTCCCGACATATGTGTTGGACGTCAGGACAGCCACTTGACTCATATGTGTTGGAGGTCTAGTACAGACACTTGACTCATATGTGTTGGAGGTCTAGTACAGACACTTGATTCATATGTGTTGGAGGTCTAGTACAGACACTTGACTCATATGTGTTGGAAGTCTAGTACAGACACTTGATTCATATGTGTTGGAAGTCTAGTACAGCCACTTGACTCATATGTGTTGGACGTCTAGTACAGCCACTTGACTCATATGTGTTGGAGGTCTAGTACAGACACTTGATTCATATGTGTTGGAAGTCTAGTACAGCCACTTGACTCATATGTGTTGGAGGTCCTGTACAGCTCCCGACATATGTGTTGGACGTCTAGTACAGCCACTTGACTCATATGTGTTGGAGGTCTAGTACAGACACTTGACTCATATGTGTTGGAGGTCTAGTACAGACACTTGATTCATATGTGTTGAGGTCTAGTACAGACACTTGACTCATATGTGTTGGAAGTCTAGTACAGCCACTTGACTCATATGTGTTGGACGTCTAGTACAGCCCTCGACTCATATGTGTTGGAGGTCCGGTACAGCCACTTGACTCATATGTGTTGGAGGTCCGGTACAGCCACTTGACTCATATGTGTTGGAGGTCAGGTACAGCCACTTGACTCGTATGTTATTGACCTGGTTGTTTGTTAATTTTGTCATTTTTCCGTCCATTAAGACTTTGCTCGAAGTGTTCTGTTGTATTTGTGGGAGCCACCCCCCCCCCCTTTTCAGTTTTGAATACATCGTTTATTTGATGTCTAGTAACATGAATAACTGGGCGCCGCAGTGTTTTAGCGGATAGACGCTCGCTGAAGATCCAAAGGTCGTGCGTTCGAATCCGAACTGTGCCGGATTTTTTTCCTTACAAAAATTACCTTGGCTCCCAAATCGATCCAGCCATGATTGGGTAAAGGAGATAAAGGCGGCCGGTGTGATGCTGACCACATCACCCACCGAGT